TACATACATACATACATACATACATACATACATACATACATACATACATACATACATACATACACGGATGGACAACCTCTCGGCAATATGCAGTTTTGCGCGCTCTATCAGCGCTATAGCGTTGCACAGCAAAAATGCATAATAAAAATGGACTTTAACCTTCATTATAAATACAGTTTTAGTGATTCCTGTGCATATGCAATTTGTTCATTTATATTTGTTCTCACAGCGGTAGTTATTTGTGGAGCATTTTCAGTAACTGAGTTTCTCCTCTTTGAGGTTGAGCGAATAGTGACTGGTGAGGTGGAGAGGGAGAAGACGCGCGAACTTTATCGCAGTAAACAACGGATGGCAAATATTTTAACACGAAAAATGGATAAGCGTGATATCGATGAGATGGAACTGAAGCTGGAGCAAACTGCTATGGGGCTACTCTTCAACAAGGAACAATTTCGAGTTCTTACCTCCAAAGAACAAAAGGTATATCATTTCCTAGAAGAGCACACATCATTCAAAGCATCCGATGTAATTCTCTGTTAAATGTGTTGTTTGAAAAATGTTGTAAAAATCACACGAGAAAGTAACACCTGCTATATAGGACATGTTGCTTGCCTTGCTAGTAACTGGTAAAAGCGATACTTTTTAGCGTAGGCGAATCCAAGGGGCGGGGAGTTGGAGGACGAAGGGTCTTTTGTAACCCTTCAGCGGCACAGGCACCAGTGTTGCAAAAGTCCAGGTCTAAAGCTAAAACTAAAGTAAAATTAAAGCCTAAGGAGCTCCAAATTGATATTCCTACTGTTTGTGCGCCTAACTCTCAGGTATGGATACGCAAAAGTTTTAGCACCAGAATTAATAATTTGGGAACCACAAAAGCCAGGAAGCTGAAATTTTAGGAGAATGTTTCCTGCCCGCGCACAACCTGAAAAAGTTAAAGTTAGCCTTCAAGTGCACCTAGCTGTCGTGTACGGACAACTGAAAGCCTAAACTAAAGTAACTCTAAGTAGCAGTGTTACAGCTATATTCCTAGTTTTTATATAGTTTCAGGGTGGGAAGGGATCCTTCTCCCAACCCTTCCCCCCTCGCTCCTTCCCCTGCCCGTCGCTTCCCCTTCTGCTCCCTCAGGAGCTCCACTCTTCCCCCTCCCACTCCTCGTCGTCTTTCCCTCCCCCCTTTCCCCAGTAGTTCCTTCGGGGGCCTTTTATGATTGTTAGTGAGTTATACTAGCGAGAAAGTAAACTTTTGGCGGGCTCTTACGTGGGTACCACGCAGGTAATGGCGCCCATTTTGGGGACTGGGGCCCGTATGTGCATGTAGGC